GTCGCTTCCCAGTGAGGCTGCCTCAATTTTCTGGAGCAAATAGCAAGCAGCCTTGCTGACATGCTAACTGACCCAAGCTTTGTTCCAAGGTCGGGGGTGCACAACAGTGGTCTTGCCCACGTGTTGATCCAACTGGAAGCGGAGCTCAAAGGTTGGGGGTGGGGGTGGGGCTCAGACAGATCCTGGGGCCTCCCTGGGTCGGACTCCTCCAATGCCCTATAGCAAAAACCTCTCAAAACAAAAAAGAAAAAGAAAAGAAAAGAAAAACACTGCAAATCTTGGAAAGTTGACAGAAACAGATCCTGCATGGGTGGGAGTTACTTGTCCCTAGCTCCTGTTAGAGTGACCTATATTTGCATAGGTTGTGCACATGGCCTTTTGAACCATATGTATTCTCTTGCTTTAAGCAAGGACTTTGCTTTTGTTATGCTTACATTTATTACATTGCCATTTTTCTTTGAGGATTTCAAACCATTACTGTAGGAAATTGTCTTTGGAGCAGGTACACTAGAAGGTTTTTTTTTTTTTCCTTTTTTCATTTCTTTTTTTTTTTTTGGCCATAGGACATGTGCACTTGCCAGAGAGAGAGAAGGAGATAGAGTGAGAAATCACCTCTCAGGGAGATGGCCCTCTCATAATCTTTTCTCCTCCATTTTCCTCTCAGGATTTTTGGGCATGCTTTTACATTCACCTAGAGTATTTTCCAAGCCGCCAGGTCCAGGACTTGAACTATTTACTCAGCCATGTGGGATCCAGCTGCCTTACCTACCATGCCAGCTGGCCCTACACTTAGTTTCTTTACTGAATAACATAAGTCAGTTCCTCTATCCAAGCATGCAAAAGCCTTTCAGACCTGTCCTATCAGGGAGCAGTTGGCAGTTCAACCCCATGTGCATTCCTCCATTGGTAGTGTGGCCTTGGGACCATTTGACTGTAACAGAGGTTGTTAACATAGTGGAATATACCCCAAAGAAATACCCAAGAGCCTCTGGCACCTAAGAGCCTCATTCTCATGAGCAACAAATGCCAGGTCTTGTACTTGGCACCAAAGGTAAGGGAGGCCACTGTGTGTGCCTAAGTAGAGGTAGGGTGGCAGTGTTGCTCTGTTGTCCATGATGTGTGTGGACGCCACTCAAGCTCTCATTAAGAGTTATGTTCACCCCGGATAATACCTTCTTGGTAAGAGTACCTCTCTTGTTTTTTCTCTGTTTTAGACATGGGCGTGCCATCCGCTGCATTCTGGAACGAGGAGAAGACATGTTAATAACTGGAGGCCGCCACCCCTACTTTGGGAAGTACCGAGTGAGTAGAAGAGATGGAGGGAAAGATTTGTGTTGTAAATACAACATTTCATAGATGCAGAGGGCAGAACTTGGCTACCCTCCAGTGGGAAACAACAATGAGCAAATCCACAAATGGTACTTCCATTTAACTTTCCATTTCTTGTGCTGACTTTTTAATTACTGGCTGGTTCAAGGAAGCTTTTATGCTCCGCTCAAAGATGTCAGTTTAAAATAAAGTACTAGCTGATATTTGCCAGTGAATAATTGGAAAACACATGTGTATGCATATATTTTTGAAAGTAGACCTGATAATCATACCTATTTAGACGTATGAAAGAAGTAAAATAGAATAATTTCCATAATGGTGTTATATAAAATTAGTTATATGCAAATGAGTTCTTCATTTTCCAATATATCAAGAATCATTTTATAAAACAGTGTCTCAGGAATTTCTAGAAAGTTTTCCACGGTAGAATTTATTTTTTCTTGCCTTCTGAGACATAGTTTTGTCAGTGTGGGCTAACGGCTCTAACAGGCAACTGAAAGCTCTCAGAGACTTACACCATTATTATGTCATTTCTTGCTCAAGTAACAGCCCAGTGTAATTGATGGGGAGGAAGAAAGGAGGTCTCTACTCTGCAAAGTCATTCAGGACTTGAACTATTTCCATCCAGTGGTGCCACCATCCCTTCAACGGCACTGTCCAGTATGGTGGCCACTAGGATCATATAGCTATTTAAGGTTAAATTAAATTATTGGGGCAGCAGGTGGCATAGTGGTTGCAGCACTGAATTTCCACATGGCCAATCATGGTTCGAGTCCTGGATCTGGTGGCTTGAAAATCACAGAGGGCTCAGGTGTGTGCATGCCCCAAATTCCAGGAGAATTAGGAGATTGGTGTGTGCATGCCCCAAATCCCAGGAGAAGGGATTTCGGCATGGCCATAACTCCCTGGGTAGTTATTTTTTACTATCCCTCTCACCATCTCCTCTGTTTCTCTCTAGTTAGTGCATACCCCCCTATGGCAAAAAGCTAAATAATAATAATAGCTAAATGAAATTAAATGAAAAATTTAGCTCCACAGTTGAATTAGCTATAGTTTAAGTACTCAATAACCACATGTGCTTAGAGCTGGCCATATCAGACACTACAGACACAGAACATCGCCATCATCACAGAGTTATGTTGGCTAAGCACTGCCCTAGGGATGCTGTCCTCCTCTGGATCTTCTGCCAAGGGCAGCACTAAGGGGGAGAATGAGCGTTCTGGACTTCACAGGCCATGCACTGATCACAATGAGGATTTATTAATGTAAACTTTAATAAGTTGAGAGCTCTAGAAAGCCAAGTGCAAACAAACAAAGAGATATATTAGAGTCATCTTTAAAAACAAGAAGGATTTATTTTGAAAACTTTCAGCAGCACCAAATGAGGCCGAGAGTTTTGATTAAACTGGACTCTGTGAGAAAAATGTGCAGAGTACATTGTAAGCAGGTCACCAGATTTGGAGGTTAGAAGATTATTTGTGACTTTAGAAGAGGAGATTTTGATATAAAGGTGAGGATGGGAGCCAAAATTCAAGGAGTTACAGCAAGAATGAGAGGTCAAGAAATGGCGTAATTAATTTGCTCTGGTAGGAGAAAAAACAGAACAGAAGGGAAAGATTAAACTGGAGGGATTTTTGTTTTTCTTTTTATTTTATCACTATATGTTTCTGCCCTTTCTTTTTTACTTTTTTTTTTCAATTGCCAGAGGGCATGTGGCCTTTCCAGAGAGACACAGAGAGACAGAGAGAGAAAGCATCCCCCCCAATGGGACATGGTCATGCCACAGTTTATCTCTTCCATTTCTCCATCCTGTCGGGATTTGAGGCATGCACCTGGTATGTTTTGAAAGTCACCAGATCCAGAATTCACACTGCAGTTGACCATGTAGGATACTACTCCCTTAACCACTGGGCTACAGGGCCAGCTCATATTTTTTTTCCTTTTTCTAATTACTGTTTTTAATTGTGGAAAAATATACATAATATAAAAGTTACCACCTTATTCATTTTTAAGTTTACAGTACAGCAAAACTCACATCATTGTGCTATCATCACCATCATTCATCTTCAAAACTCTTTTCATCTAATAAAACTGAAACTTTATCCCCATTAAATAACTCCTATTCTCTTTTACCCCAGCCCCTAGGATCCACCACTTTACTTTTTATCTCTATGACTTTTACTGCTCTGTGTGCCTCATGTAAGTGGGATTATATGGTATTTGTCCTTTTGTCACTGGCTTATTTCACTTAGCATAATATCCTCAAGGTTCATCCATGTCATTGTAGCATGTATCAGAATTCCTTCCTTTTTAAGGCTGAATAATATTCCATTCTATGTGTATTCCACATTTTTTTAATTCATCTGCTGATTGATATGGATTGCTTCTGTCTCTTAGCTACTGCAAATAATGCTGCTGTGAACATAAGTGTACAAAAATCTCTTTGAGGGAACCAGCAGTTAGCGTAATGGCTATGTCGCTGGACTCCCATGTAGTCAACCGCGGTTCGTGTCCTGGACCTGGTGGCTTAAAACTCACGCAGGGCACGTGTGCGTACATGCCCAAGATCCCGAGAGGAGAATGGAGGAGAAGGGATTGCGGTGTGACCATCCCCTCTGGGGGTGATTTCTCACTTTCTGTCTCTATATCTCTCTCTGTCTCTCTGGCGAGCACACGCGCCTATAGCGAAAACCTCTCCAAAAAAAAAAAAATCTCTTTAAGATCTTCCTTTCAATTATTTTGAGTGTATGCTCAGAAGTAGAATAACTAGATTATATGGTAACTCTATGTTTACTTTGTTGAGGAACCACTCTACTGTTTTCCGTACCAGTTACGCCATTTTACATTCCCACCAACTGTCCACATGGGTTCCAGTATCTCCAAATCTTCACCAACTTAGTCGCTTTCTCTCTTTTTCCTTTTTTATTAGTATTAGTCATCATAATAGATGTAAGTTGGTATCTTGTAGCTTTGAATTACACTTCCCTAATGATTAGTGATGTTGGATCTCTTTGCATATGTTTACTGGCCATTTGTATATATTTTTTGGAGAAATGTCTATTCAAGTCCTTTGTCCACTTCTTTTTTTTTTAAAGAATTATTTTTATTTAATTTTATTTATTCATTCATTTATTTTAATTTGACCAGAGAGAGAGAGAGAGAAAGAGAGAGAGAGAGAGAAAGTGAGAAAGCAAGCCACCAGATTCGGGACTCAAACCATGGTCAGCCAAGTGGGAGTGTCCAGCGCCTTAGCCACCATGCCACCTGCTGGTCCCTCCTTTGTTCACTTCTAATCAGGTTGTTTTCTTTGTTGATTTGTGGCAATTTATTATATATTCTGGATGTTAACTCTTTATTAGTTATATGATTTGCAAATATTTTCACCCATTCTGTGGGTTTCCTTTTTACTCCATTAATTGTATCCCTGGATGCACAGAGTTTTTAAATTTGATGTAATCTAATCTACGCATAGTATTTTTTATTTTGTTTCCTGCTTTTGGTATTATATGCAAAAATATCACTGACAAATCCAATGTCATGAAGCTTTTCTCCTATGTGTAGATGGTTCACAAGTGACAAAGCAAACTTTAGAGAAACTTGGACTCCAGCACCATTTCAAAAATCACTTCTCTTCCTCCAGGCTGGATTCATGAATGATGGCAGAATCTTGGCCCTCGACATGGAGCATTATAGCAATGGAGGCGCCTCCCTAGATGAGTCAATATTTGTAAGTGTTCTAAGGATCAAGTTCACACTCCTTAATGTTACATAAATAATACAGTTCAATTCCCAAAGTGCTCAATATTAAACAGTGTTTAATTATAAAAGCATAATGACCATCATTGCAGGGAAAACCTCATGTAACTTAATGGCATACAAAGCATAAACCCAGAAATCTTGGCTAAGTCTGCATTTGTATGTTATCTTTTTTGTTTTGGCCAAAGGGCACATGTGCACCCCTCAGTGGGGCCTGGTCACGTTGCAATCTCCTTTCCTCCATTCCTCCTTCTCATCAAGATCCTAGACCCACATGCATATGCTCATTGTGTTTTTCAAGCTTCTGGAATCTAACTTGCTTCACACAACTGCATCGTAGGACTGGTCCTCCTTTTTTTTTTTTTTTTAAAGACAGTAGTCATATGCACACATGTGTGAGGGAGAGAGCATCCTCAACAGGGTCTTATCTTCCAAACAATGCATTCCTAGAATTGTTTCAGACTGATAGGGTATCCAAATTCATAGTCAGCCATGTGGCTTCCAGCTTTGTGAGACACTTGTGTTACTGCTACACTACAACGCTGAGCCCTGTGTGTTTCTTAATGCTCCCCATATTTAGAGCTGTTTTCTAGATACAAATGTTAGACCAGTATTTCTCAGCCTCAGCCCCATTGACAGTTTAGACCAGATAACTCTTTTTTGGGGAAAAGGGTTTGTTATGTGAATTCTGGGACATTTAGCAACATCTTTAACCTCTACCCAGCAGATGTCAGTGGCACTGCCACCCTCCAGTCTTAAAAAACAAAAATATCTCTGGACATTACCAAATGTCTCCAGGACAGCAGCAGGGTGGCATTGGTGAGGAGGATTAGGGTGGTTGAGAACCAATGTATTGAACCTAACACCAAAATACTTTCTTTCTGTTTTCTCTGTTTTCCAGGTTATTGTATTCATTTCACTCAGTAGGCCTAGTACTTAGGGCCGATGGAGACTTCAAAGACTTTTGTAAATGAAGTCTGAAAAAAAAAAAGTGCATTAACTCTAAAATCTGAACAGAAATAATGATTCCAAAAAATACACAAATACTTAAAAGTTATTTTAGAACAAAAGTACGCTTAATTCAAGGCATGGGTATATTTCATCATGTTTGATGTGATTTAGAGAGGCTGCTATTTCTGGTTGGTTTAAGTATTGGGTCTCAGGATGGTAAAACAGGAGAAGGACCAGGGTCTTAACACATCATGTCTGGGTTTCTCTAGGTGATAGAAATGGGACTTCTGAAAATGGACAATGCATATAAGTTTCCCAACCTGCGCTGCCGGGGGAGAGCATGCAGAACCAACCTTCCATCCAACACAGCCTTGCGTGGGTTTGGCTTTCCTCAGGCAGGGCTGATCACCGAACACTGTATCACGGAAGTTGCAGCCAAATGTGGTTTGTCCCCTGAGAAGGTAATACTAAATTCATGTCACTGAGGTGGAAAAGCCTTTGGGGTCTTTCAGGTTGAAGAATTTGCTATCTAGATGAATAAATGATTTGCCTTAGGTCACCTAGCTAACTAGTTAAATCAGAGACAGGATTCCAGAGTTCAGAGATGCTTGTCTTTCTCAGACACTTTTTCAGAAATCCTAGAAACAGAGGGTATTGAGGACTGAGCCTTGGATTCTCACTTGTTTGCTGAGAAGTTTCCATTGGGTGAGGGATGTAACTGCCACCAACACCTCAGACAGCTATCATAAAGCTTGTCATTTCGGTTGTTCAAATGGTCTCCTTTCTGTTCAGGTCTCAATCCAACTTTATTTAACAAAGATTTTTACTTTTCTGGGACCTCTTCTACCTTTAGAACCTGGAGTATAGTTATGGTAGGGAGATGTGGCAGGCCCCCCTCTCACCTTCTTCTCTTCCACTGTGTCTGCGACAGTGATGTTGAGGCAAAAAGGTCTAGGGAGAGGACTAGGGAAGACAGACAACCTCTCCCCATGTGACTTTTCCCTGGAAGGTCACAGTCTTCTCTGGTTAGATACTGCCACTTGTCAAGTATGTCATCTGTAGGAAAATAGGAAGACTTCAATTGAGTGCTTTAGACTTTCTAGGATAGAATCTTTTCATTTGTTCTTCATGCTAGGTGTCAGTTATATTTGAACAAACTTTCATGTTGACCTGTTTGGAAGTGAGTGGCTTATCTTGCCGTAGCTTCTGAATAATCCAAATCATATAACCTGGATTACCTTTTAGCAGACATTTACAAATGCAGCTGGAATCGATCACAGTGTACCTAGACCATGTTGAGTTATATAGCAAGTTCAGGAAAGGATCCTCCCCTTGAACTTGCACCAGAATCATAGAAGTAAGTGCTGACAGATTCAACTGAGGCTTTGAGGATAGGAAGAGAACACTATGCATGGGGAAAAGCATCTATTAGAACTAAGTAGACTTTGACTTGGGAATTCTATGGTGGGCACAATTTAATTAGGAAAATGGTGAGTGAATGAGGCTATATCTTCTGGATGTCCCCCCACAATCTCCTTCCCTTTCATAGGTCCGACAGATAAATATGTATAATGAAATTGATCAAACGCCCTACAAACAAGAGATTAATGCTGAGAACCTGATCCAGTGTTGGAGAGAGTGTATGGCCATGTCTTCCTACTCCCTGAGGAAAGCAGCCGTGGAAAAATTCAATGCAGAGAATTACTGGAAGAAGAAAGGGCTGGCTATGGTCCCCCTGAAGTATCCTGTTGGCCTTGGCTCACTCGCTGCTGGTCAGGTCAGTTCTCCAAACACACATGGGAGTGCTGCCTGGAAGCAGCCCTGAGAAGTAGAAGATGTTGAGGAAACTTTCCTTTATGAGTTTCAAGGCCCAATTCTTTAATTTCACCAACTTGTGCTCAATCTAGTTCATTCCAGAGGACACAAAGCTCCTCTGCACACATCCCCATGGTTGGTAATGAACTTCCTTGCAGAAAAATTGGGAGACGTGAGATTTACTCCTGGCCCTGCAATAAGCACTTGCCCTGACCCCAGTTTATTCATGTGTAAATTAAGAGGGTGGGACCGAAGTCCTCCAAAACTTCTCTTCCAGCCACTCTGTGATTCTGTGTCACTGGCCCATGAGATAGAAATAGGAAGCTGCGGGACCAGCAGTTAGTGTAATGGCTATGTCACTGAACTCCCATGTAGCCGACCATGGTTTGAGTCCCAGACCCGGTTGCTTAAACTCACGCCGGGTGCGTGTGTGTGTGCCCAAAATCCCAAGAAGAGAATAGAGGAGAAGGGATTGTGGCATGGCCATCCCCCCTGTGTGTGGGGGGGTGATTTCTCACTGTCTGTCTCTGTCTCTCTCTGTCTTTCTGGCTAGCGCACATGCCCTGTAGCAAAAACCTCTCCAAAAAAAAAAAAAAAAAAAGAAAGAAAGAAATAGGAAGCTGCTAGGGTGCCCCACCTTATTTGGGTGGGTTGAGATAAACTAAACCCAGAAAAGTAATCATTTAAATATTTTTTTAAAAAAACTATTTATTTATTTTAATTTGACTAGAGAGGGACAGAGTGAGAAAGAAAGAGAGAGAGAGAAAGCAAACCACTAGGTCCGAGACTTGAACCAAGGTTAGCCATGTGGGACCCCAGTGCCCTTAACCACTAGGCCACCTGCCAATCCCTTAAATAACTTTTTAAAACACAATTTTAGAAGCTTAGGGGGACCAGCAGATGGCATAATAGTTACTTCGCTGGACTCTCACGTAGTCAACTCTGTTTGAGTCCTGGACCTGGCAGTTTGAAACTCATGCCGGACTTGTATAGGTGTGTGCCCAAAATCTGGAGAAGAGACGGGGAAAGAAGGGATTGCAGCATGGCCGTCCTCCCAGGGGGTGATTTCTCTCTTTCTGTCTCTCTCTGTCTCTCTGGCGAGCACATGCACCCTATAGCAAAAATCTCTCTCTTAAAAAAAAAAAGGAAAGAAAACACAATTTTAGAAGTTTGTTCATCTCAGAACTATTAAAAAAGTATGAAAGGAGGGACTGGGGACCTGCTATTATAGTTTAATTTCTTTAACCAATTAAATGAATTCCCTTGTTTGGTTGCTAAATTCCACTTACTGTTTTCACCTCTCTCTCTCTTTTTGATGAAACTTACCTCTAACTGCTGGAATGTATATAGACATGTTTGTAGGTGAGCCAACAGAGCTTGGTTTTCCTCCTCTTTGCAGAATTCACACTTTTGGCTGAACCATGAAGAGAGTATGACAGATGATAAAATAGGAATAAATGCGGAGGGGGGACTACAAAAAGAGCATTAGTATGTGTGTATGTGTGTGTGTGTGTGTGTGTGTGTGTGTGTGTGTGGTGTGTTAAGGGAGCAGAGGAGGCCAAGAAAAGTGTTAGGAAGGTCCTTTCCCTATTCTTATATCAGTCCATCCATCTGTGTCCTAGTTGAGCTTTGGTATAATCCTTAGAACATTTGCAAAGCTGTTGATTGTAGCCAGGAGATAACTCAGAGGAGCATTTCGGCAAGTGGTAATCTCATTGCAGCCTTCTCATTCCTCGCCCATTTGTGATAAAAATAAATAATTAATAGAGTCACTTGACCATCCACATAAAACTTACTCTGGTGAGGGAGAAGATCAAGAGGCTATGGTTGAGGGACCAGCAGTTGGTATAATGGCTATGTTGCTGGACTCCCATGTAGCCGACTGTGGTTTGAGTCCCAGACCCAGCGACTTAAACTCATGCCGGGCGCGTGTGCGTGCGTGTTCAAGATCCTGAGAGGAGAATGGAGGAGAAGGGATTGTGGCGTGGCCATCCCCTTGGGGGGTGATTTTCTGGCTTTCTGTCTCTCTATCTCTCTGTGTCTTTCTGGCAAACGCACATGCCCTATAGAAAAAATCTCTCAAAAAAAAAAAAAAAGAAAAAAAAGCAAGAAAGGAAAAATAAAAGAGGCTATGGTAGAGAATGAAGGGAGGAATGTGGTTATCAAAAAGGAAAGGAGGGGAAAAGCTAGCACTGGGAAAAGGGTTTGTGGACAGTAAATCTTGGTATACAATTTTGGGGAAAACTGATTAGCTGGCAGCTAGCCAAGAGATCAGTTAGGGCTCCTGCCCTTGAGCAGACTGGCCAGAATCTTTGGGAAAAACAATCTCTGTCATTTATAGATCCTTGGGGAATCCTTGTTAGGGATCCTTGGGAAGTCCTTGAGTATTGGGCCTCGGGTAGACATGGCAGGCAGCCTCTGTGTAATGGTTGCCATTATTACTATTATTAATTTTATTTATTTTTAAAGAGATTTTTTGCTATGGGGTCCTTGTGCTCGCCAGAGAGATGGAAACACAGAAAGCAAGAAATCATCACCCAGGGTGTTGGCCATGTCACAATCCCTTCTCCTCTCAGATCCTCTTGGAGTTTTGGGCACCCACACAAACACATGAATTTGGTGGGAGTTTGAAGCTGCCAGGTCTGGGATTCGAACCATGGTCAACTATGTGGGAATTCAGCACTTTAACCACTGCAACTGCTGGTCCCGGCTGCCATTATTTAATATTTGGACTTCACTATAGACCAGGTGTGCCCCACTGTCCTCATTAGAAATGTATCCAAAAGTGGATTTTAAAATAATGATTATTATCAAGCACCCACTATAAGTCCTGTTAGATTTTATATCATTTAACTCTCAGAGTGACTTATTTTAGGATATATTTGTATTCTCACCAATGAGGAAAAGATGGAGGCTTGGAGAATTTAAATAACTTGCCCTAAGTCCCACAGCTACTAGAGTGGGGCCAGGGCTAGATCTCAGATCTGAGTGGCTCCTGCAGCTGTGTTTTCTTAGTTACATCAAACTGTCTCCCCCAAAATCCGTTCTGTTGGGAACTGAAGTCATACTCAGTTCAGCTGAGAAGAAACCAGACAATAGCCAGCAGTACAGATTCATTCTCAAAGGCTACTGAAAACCCCCTCTCTGGGGAAACAGAGCCGCATCTAATACTTGAAATATTGTCTTAGGACTGAACCAAGGAGTCAGATCAGTCAGGCTGCTTCCTGGAAGGCACAAGCTGAAAGATGACTCTAAAGCAGACCAAATCCTGAAAGGAACTATAAATGGTATATGAGAATCCATTTATGGATTCTCTGTATAAGGCCCTGGGCTGGGAGATTTGTAATCTCCCACTTGATCAACTCCCTGTCTCATCTCTATTAGGTAGGTGTGTTTGTTTCTCTCTCAGAGAAGGGGAGACTGAAGCCCACAGAGATGTACTCTCTTGTCAAGAGTCATCCAGCTAGTGAGTGGCAGGACAAGGATCTGGCCTTGGCACTGCCAGACCTCAGGTCCCATGTGCCTTCATCATCCCTCACTGTCTCCTGGGCAAAAGCAGCCCCTGCCCAACAGCTGAGAAGCAAATATACCTCGCCTACCTTTAGTTAATTCCAACACCAGAAACACAAAGGCATGCGGGCAATATTTAATTAATTAATCTCTGTGTTTCTAGTGCCTATGACACCTGATACAGAGCAGAAACTCAAATGTTTGAAGGGCCGAGGTATTTTGGGACTGTATGAGCTTAAAGCTAACTTTTCACCAATACCAGCAGTCATAGCTTAAAGACTGAAATTTCACCGACTAAGTCCTCTTATTTATATTGGAGAACCATCTGTTCCAACACTCCAGTTGTTCCCATTTTGTATAATAGATGAAGCTTTGTGGAATTATCTTTTGTGGCACTAACAAAGAACCATTCAGTGGTGCCACTTAACTGAACCAAATTTGACATTTTAAATGGCCCGAGGAGATTGCAGCACCACATGGAACAAATTGCTCAGCCATCTTCAATAGAAATGCTGCCCTACACATGCAGGCAGAGTGCTGTCACCAGCAGGGTCGCACAATGTAGGAAATGCAAAATCCACTGTAATTGTAGCTCAGTCACGTGTGTGTAGTCCAACTACAGATTTCACGCACACTCTGCAGAGCCATGGAGGTCAAATACAGAGTCTCTCAGCCTAAGAAATAGATTGGAGGACTCTATTATTGCAAATTTATTTATCAAACAGTTTTGGTGCACCCATCACATGGGAGACCCTATGCTGCATTTCCAGGGGTGCCTTAGAACATGTTCTTCATTTCAGGGCTCACATTCTAGCAGAGTACAATGACATACGCAAGAAGGGAGCCCAGAAGCTGCTGTTGTAGCTGGTGGAATCACCTGGCATCTGATATAGAGCCCCCGGGGCAGCCAGATCTGGGCTTTCTGTAAAAGATGCCACTCCTTATCTTTATTATTTTGGGACTAAATGGTCAAGAGCACAAGACGGTGTTTCCAGAAGTCATGTGTCCACAGACAGTAAGATATGCAATGCTTTATCTTCCCAAAACCCTTAGGCATTATTATTATGGCTACTCTGCCTTCTTCAAGATTCTAAGATTCTCTCTTGGTCTGTGAATGTGTGTGCCTTTGTCCTCAGTGAAAGGGTACACCGATGTCCCCATTTTGCCAATGCATCCCTAGTTTACACCTGCTGACCTGGTACATGGAGCCCATTTTCACTGTCAGAAGTATATTATTTGGCAAGCTGGAAGTCTGGGAGATTGAGATTAGGGCATGGCCAGACCCTGTTCAGGGTTGCTTGTCTCTTGCACACACACTCTCTCTTTGTCCTTTTCTGTCTCTTGTACATGTGCATGCACACGCACACACACACACACTATCATGGGGGGGTATCTTATTTGGAACAATGAAGCTTCTGCTTGCCGTCCCGGTTGTCCCTCACTGGGGTAATGTGAACCCGCACATACCAAGAAAGAGGCAGTTCTGTAAGTGCTGGCCTCAGTTCACAGGGTCCTTCTGGTAGCCTAATAATTGGTCTAGGAATGTAGTCTTCTCCTTGGTTTTACCTGCTGATTAATGCACAATTACATCAACTTTCACTTAGACCAGGGTTGTTTAAAAATAATCTAAGTGAGTAATTAAAGCTTACTAAAATTTTACATTCATTAAGTGGAAATTTGCTTGTTACCGGAACTTTCCAAAGACTCTGCTTTTACAAATTTTGTTCATCTTGCCACTCTAGATAAAAACTTAGTAAGAAACCTAGGTGGCAGAGCTCTAAGTGACTGACCCCTATCAGACCCAGACCACATCTATGAAACTGGCACTCCCCAGATGAACAACGGAAGAGTTTGCCTTCCAGGCCTTTTGGACCGTAGTGGAACCACTTAGAGGCATTTCCTCCAGGACCATATACTGTTGGTATTGTTCTTACATTGGAAATTCAAAGTGAAGCCATTACCATTTTCTGCACACCCTGGAATATATCCATACCCTCTAGTTTAGCACAGGCAGAAAGAAGGCATATTCTTGTTCATTGTAAAACATGTTTAGTGTAGAGTCTGATTACAAAAGCCTGTTATTCTGTTGCAGTTTATTTCCTTCTGGATCCTGTGGGGAGCTACATAGTTAGATAAAATGACTTTCAAGTTCTCTTTCAACTCCAAAGCTCTGTAATTCTGTGCCAAGATGATTTAGGGTTGGCTTAGCTCATCTTGCTGCAGAAATATTAATGTCTATCCCATCTTGTTTGGATTTTTATTTTTACTTTTCTGTGACACATCTAAACTATAGAATAGGCATGCACACAACTGTTCTCTCTCCTTCCCTTAAAACCTATTTATATACTTTAGAATGGATGGGCCCTCAACAAATGTGGCTACACTGGGGGCAAAGAGGAGGGGGTCTTTAAAGGGGTACAGGTGAATCCTAATCAGGAAGCAGCTTAATGACCATAGTCATACCACAGACTCAAAGCCACCCAGGGACAGCATGACTTCTTATAGAGTGATCATGAGATAGCACTTGCCCCAACATTGTCCTGGCTCCCTTGGTGGTTCTTGGGGCACTGAGAAAGTAGTCTATCTATGGTTTTGGTGGGGACTAGGAGGATGAAAGGAGGGGGTTGTTTTAATAAGCCTTCGTTGGCATGATATGTGATAATAGTAGAAAGATCATGGATACTGGTTTTGTCTTTTCTACCTAGGCTGCTGCCCTGGTTCACATTTATCTAGATGGCTCTGTGCTAGTCACACATGGTGGCATTGAAATGGGGCAAGGAGTCCACACTAAAATGATTCAGGTAAGAATGTAAACAGCTGCATCATGTTGTGTGCGTGCTTGTAGATATGTTAATAAGAGAGAAACTATGAATATGTACCTTCCATTCCAAAATAAAGGCAGTAGGCCTGCCCCATGGCCTGGTGGTTAAGGAAGGTGGATTCCACATGGCTGACTATGTGGCTCACATCCCAGCCCCTATGGCTTGAGAAATGCACTTGGGGTTTGTGCATGGGTGTCCCAAATCCCAACAAGGTAGACAAATGGAAAAGAAGGGATTGCTACGACCATGCGCCATTGTGGGGTGCTTTTCCCTTCCCTCTCTCCCTGTCTCCCTGTCTCTCTCTGGTGAATGCACCCACTCTCTAACAATAAAAATGAATAAATAATTTAAAAAAGGATAGGAGACTAGCTTTGACAGTTTAAACTGTTAAGCTATGTTAGCAGAGATTAGGTAAATAAGCTAATTTGTAAATGAACCTCCAAAAAGAATGTAAAAGAAGAATCTCAGATTGTTTAATTGTTAAAGAAGGTTGCATATTTATTTACTGCTTTCCTTTGGATATATTAACTGAGTTGTCATTTTTGAATCTTTGTTGGGCAATCAAAAGATGTGTAAATTATAATGTATTGCATTGTTTCTTGCTGTTCTTATATTAAGGGCTCTGAACAATGATGATAAGTCATATTTTATATTTCCAGTCAAACTACCAGTTTTCTTTTGTCTCATTTATTTTAGATTAATTCATTTTGTGTTAAGAGAGATTTTTGTTATGGGGCACGTGCACTCTCCAGAGACATGGAGAGAGAGAAAATGAGAAATCAGCCCCTGGGAAGGATGGCTACACCGCAATCCCTTCTTCTCCATTCCCTTCTTGGTATTACGGGGAGGCACACACATGCGCCTGGCGTGAGTTTCAAGCTGCTGGTCTGGAACTCGAACCACAGTAGGCCACGTGGGAGTCAGTGCCATATCCACTATGGCACCTACTGGCCCCTAGATTATTTCTAAACAACTGTTCCTATTTTGTTAATTACAATTATAATATTATAGATTATAAACCATTTGGAAGAGGCAGACACTTCTATTTTTTAAGTTCTGTACTATTCAACCACTTAGCAATAATCACCTTTTTGAGGGTCTTTCCATCTTGTCACATTTTTCTTGTTTAAAAATTGCTAACATGTTTTTAGATAATTTCATACCCTGTTCTCCCCCACACACACTTTTCCTATGTATTCCTTAAGAATTCTTTACCATTGTGATTTTTAATGGCTACACATGGATCTTATAGATAATTGATTTCACCACCCCCCACCTGTTGAACATTTCAAACAGTATTTTTATGCGTTAGACTGTGATCATATCAATGATTGTTTCTTAAAATAGGTTCCCAGAAGTAAAATTACTGGGTCACAGGGCATATTTTAAATTGTTTGACACATCTTGCCATATTGTTTTTCAGAAAGTTTCCAATTATACCCTAGCCAACAATGAATGGTACACATTGTTGAGAATTTTTAGACAACTTGAAAGGTGAAAGAAAATAACTTATTATTACTTTAATTTGCTTATTTTCTAATTATAGAGATATTGAATATATATTTCCTTCCTGTTATCAGTTACTAGAGAATTATTTAGTCATATTTTTCTTCCTTTGGAGAGTGAGATTCTAGGGTTTTCCTCAGACCCCCTTTATGCTCTAATTCTGTGCACTCTCTATAGATGAACTTTTGAGAAAAAAGCATTGTGTCCACGTCATAAAGTAGGCACACTTTATGAGCCATATTGCTGGCAAGGAAGAGGAGAATGTGGGATCAGGTAGTTAGTAGCATGATTTTGTTCTCCAGCCCTAAAAATACAGAAAAAATCAGACACAGTGACATCTTCTCTGTAACCCACATGTTCATGCTGCTGCTTTTCCAAGACCATTAGCCTTTCTCATTATCCTGGAGCATCTCCAGAAGTGTGGATGGGAGATTGGCATCTCTTATTATTGACGACATTGGCTTTGCTAGGGTTTTGTAATAGGAAAGGCCCCAGAAATGTTGAACTCATATAAAGACATGAAACATTTCTTCCTATCTTGTCTTGGGGTCTCCCTTCCTCTTCTTGATGCTACTGCACAAGAGAAAGTTAAAGAAAAAGGAACTGTGTTCGGGACTTGGGGTTCAGACTAGTTATACATATTTTAGAAAAGAGAAATTTTGGGGACCAGCAGATGGCAGGATGGTTACATCACTAGATTCCCACATAGCCGACTAAGGTTCAAGTCTCAGACCTAGCAGCTTAAAATTCACGTGGGCACATGTGCATGCATGCCCAAAATCCCAAGAGGAGACTGAAAGAGAAGGGATTTCAGCATGGCCATCCCTCCAGAGGGTGATTTCTTGCTTTCTGTTTCTCCAGGGAGCACACATACCCTATAGCAAAAATCTCTCTCTCTAAAAAAAGAGAGAAAGAAAGAAAGAAAAAAAGAAAGAAAGAAAGAGGAAAAGAAAGGAAGGAAAGAAGGAAGGAAGGAAGGAAGGAAGGAAGAAAGAAAGAGGAGAAACTTTTTTGTAGCAGAAGAAAATCATGGTTCTGTTCCCTTGTCTCTTGTCTGAGGACTTTAAACACCTGGGCATGTTCTCAGGCTTACAAATAATCAAAATATTTGAAAAGAAACTCACTTCTAAAATCTAGGTGGCTAGCCGTGAATTAAGGATGCCTATGTCCAACGTCCACCTCCGTGGAACCAGCACAGAAACCGTCCCTAATGCGAATGTCTCTGGAGGGTCTGTGGTGGCGGATCTCAACGGATTGGCAGTGAAGGTAAGAATCACCACGATCTCACCGAAATCATTAACCCCATCTAGGCCAAATACATGGGTGAAGCTCACAAGATGTTGAGAGTTGGGGCCAGCAGGTGGCATGATGGTTTAGGGTGCTGGACTCCCACATGGCCGACCATGGTTTGGGTCCTGGACCTGGCAGCTTGCTTTCTCACTTTCCCTCTTTCTCTCTCTGTCCCTGTCTGGTCAAACTACAATCAATAAATCAATAAAGTTAAATAGAATAATTCTTTTTTTTTTTTTTTAAAAAGAAGACGACATTGAGAGTTAATCCATCTCCTCTCTTTCCCCGTCTCAGGCTCAGTCAGTGTTTCTCCTGTGTTGGAAATGCAACCATTTTTTTTGCCCAGCCTCCTGACATCTCATTAATCAACAAGTCCTCTCAATCGACCCAAAAATGTCTCTGTGTCTTTCTACTTCTGTGTTATGGTAATATCACTTTGGGTCAGACTCCCATCTCTTGCAAGGGCCACTGGAAGCCTCTCTCTCCTAGCTTCATGGACTCTCACTCCAGCTTCATCCAGCCACAGTGAATTTGCCCTCAGAATAAATGGGACTATGCCATATTTGGAAACAGTGGCTGGTGGTTTGCCAGTAGTTTTTCTAATAAGCCCTGACTTCTCAGTATATTTTAAAAGGCCTCTGTCTTTAAGACCAGTTCACACTTATACACACACACACACACACACACACACACACACAACCTTTCACATTGCCTTCGTAAAGGGTTGATCTCTCATTTCTGTGTTAGATAAGTCAATAGAATGGCATATATCATGTTTTTTTGAAATTGGTGTTTGCACATTATGATTATAATTTTAAATAAAAATTATCCTTAGGATGCTTGCCAAACTCTTCTAAAGCGCCTTGAACCCATCATCAGCAAGAATCCTCAAGGAACTTGGAAGGATTGGGTGAGATTCACTGGTTCTCTATATTTTATCTTAGAAGAAAAGGAGGGGGGAGAGTTAGAGAGAGATGTATGAATTCAGTAACTATAGAAGGATATCTTTAAATAGTGCCAGCAATGATAATGATAAGTGCCTAATGATAAATAATAGGCCCATTGGTTCTTGGTGTGTGGAAATCCTTTAGTAATATAATGGAGGAACTCTTGCATCTGGGGAGTTTTTTTATTAGAGGAAAAGATGGTTCTCCTCCTAGAACTCCTGTTCTAAGCTGGCATTAATTACTGTTTCATCCAATGAAATCTCAGTGTTTTCTGGATAATAGCTGTGAATCTGTATGTTCTTCTTGGGGTTCCACAGCTTCTAAAGTAGAAAAATAAAACTATAACCATTCTGTAAATAAAAACCATAGAAGCAGTCATTGAGAAATAGAACATGAAGCTACTGGGAGTAAGTTCAGCCAGTCGTAGACACACAATGGGGTGGAAATATTCAGCCGCTTCCTTTGAACTACTCACTATCTAGTTGAAAAAGAAGTCCATTCTTAAGGAAACTAGCAAACTTTTCAAATAAGTTTATAAAATACCAGAGAGTGTGGAATGGACATCCAGAGAAGCTGGGAACATGTGTTGTAATGAGTATCGTCCAATGTCAGTCTTTGCAACATTGAAAGCACAGGTTGGGGAGGGATCTCACTTGAAATGGTTCCTGCCATTCTATAGAGTGAGGACTCATTTTGTAATTCTCACTTGTGGGATCTCTCCATCCTTTCTGGGTATATATATATTTTTTTCTACCTCTGCCCTGTGTTGCCTGAGCCCAGAAAAGCTGAGAGTCTGGCTGGGCAAAGCTAGACAGAGGGGCAGTGTGGGGTCAGTCCTCCACCATCATGATCTGCTCTTGTTCTGTTCACCTTTTTCTCTAATGGTTATATTTTTCATTTTTTTCCCCTTTGACTTGGACCTACTCCTCCCCATTTTTCTGTATAGTAGACAACTGTGTACACTGCAGGGTCAGGAGCTTTGTTGGCATACACAGTGTAATTTAGCAAAATTATTCCCTATTCTCTTTGCCATCTTTTTTCTCCCTGGAGCCGCTGCCATGAAGGTCAAGCTGTACAATTTCAGCAGGTACAAAATCTACCCCAGACACAGGAGATGCTATGCCAGGATCATCGGGGAAGTTGTTGTTCAATTTCTCAATATCCAATACGAGACAGCATTCTTCTCCAAGAGGAATCCTCAGCATATAAATTGGACTGTTCTCTATAGAAGAAAGCACAAAAAGGGACATTCCAAAGAAATTCAAAAGAAAAGGACCCACGTGCAGTCAAATCCCAGAGGGTTAACACCTCTTGCTGATACCCTGGCCAAGAGAAACCAAAACCCTGAAGTTTGGAAGGCTCATTGAGAGGGGCCAGCAAATGATGTAATGGTTATGTTGCTGGACTCCCATGTAGTTGACCACAGTTCGAGTCCCAGACCTGGTGGTTTAAACTCATGTCAGGCCCATGTGTATGCATGCATGCCCAAGATCCCAAGAGGAGAACAGAGGAGAAGGGATTGTGCTGTAGCCATACCCCCTGCAGTGGAGGATTTCTTGCTCTCTCTCTCTCTCTCTCTGTCTTTCTTTTGAGCACATGCACCCTATAGCAAAAAATCTCTCTTTAAAAAAAAAAAAGGCTCAGTGAGAAGCTATCAGGGCTGCCAAGAAAGCAAAAAAAGGCAAAAAAAAGCAAGCATCTAAAAAGACAGCAATGGCTGCTGCTAACGCTCCCACTAAAGATTGTAAATCCTATGAAGGTTTCTGCTCCAAGAGTTTGTGGAAAACACTACTTTGGCAGGTCATATTTTTAAATAAAGATCCAACTATTTTTTTAAAAATGTAGTTCCCCCCCCCTCAACTGCAACTGGTATGGATATTGATATTATAATGAAACATCTAGTCAACCAATTTTTCCTAAAATGTCCCTTGTTAACAGGCAGGCTGTCTTATCAGATGACTGAATGAATTCCCTCACGAGGGATTGACTGACATGGTAGTCCAGCCTATAAGGATAACCTACCACCACGGTCATTTATTACGACCATATGCACTCTTACCACAAGCAGTGACCCCCAGAAGCCTGAGGAGATGAAGAATGCTGAAAGGCTTGAATTGACTTTGGTTCTCCCTGGTGATTCCTCCTGATAGCTTTATTTAACATACGGTAAAATTTAAATTGAGGTATTCTTTCTTTGACATCCTTATTGCCTCATGTTGTGCTCTTCCTTCACAGGCCCAGGCTGCTTTCGATGAAAGCATTGGCCTCTCAGCTATTGGATACTTCAGGTAAGTAGTGCATGCTATAGCATGTTGTGGAGAACAACAGTTTTTACATTTAATCGTTGTGTATTATTACAGCATATCAGAAGAATTTTCCCATTACGAATACACTGATGAGTTTTGCTTTCAATTTTGATGAAAATTGATTTTGTGCTTTCTCTTAATATGCTGTTAGGAAGAATATTTAGCTGCTAGTTAATCCCAGTGTCCAGGAAGACTTTTGCTGGAAAAAAACAGACACACAAAATTCAACTGAATTGATCATTTAAATGATACTGGGTGATACTATACCCTTGCTGAGTAGTACATGGAATCTGCAGCAGTGGTTGACTTTTTGATGAAAACATGACATGATCTAGCTTTTAAGAAACGAAGGTTGGGAAATGTAAATTAAACCCATAAGAAGACAGGTACCGCCTTACACCTTCTGCGCCAGAAAAAAAGAAATGTAACAATATCTATGTGTTGTCAAGATCTGGAACTGTAGGAACTTGTATACTTTGGAAAATCATGTATCAAATTATTTTAATGAAGAGTGAACACTGTCAGAGAGCAGGGTAGTAGTGAGTCTTATCTGATTTTGTCACTTTACCAGTTGCCATGGAGTCCTGGGACACTGACTGACTACCAGGAGGCATTGGAGGCTTTTTTTTTCTTTTTTTCTTTTTTTTTTTAAATGTGTGTGTGTGGAGAGATTTTTGAAATAGGATATGTGTGTTCCAGAGAGACAGACAGAGACGGAGAAAGAAAGTGAGAAATCGCTCCCCAAGGGGACTGGCCATGCTTCAGTCCCTTCTCTCCCATTCTCCTCTTAGGATTTCAAGCATGCATGCATATGTGTCTGGTATGAGTTTCAATATACCTGGTCCAGGACTTGAACCACATTCAGCCATATGAGGGTTCAGTGCCTTAACCATTATGCCACCTGCTGACCCCTAAATATTTTTAACGGCTACCTCCAGGCCAGGAGGGGAGAGGGCAGAGTCCTGGCAAGCTGCTGGCCTATACTTCTCTTTCACCACTGACATTTATTTGATATTTTTAAAGAAGACCTGGGAACAGAGCAGGCCATGGAGCCTGATAGGGAGACACCAGAGCAGTGACAAAGAGTGAGAGCCAAGAGACCTGATCCCTCTCACAGAAAGTTGAATCCTTAGAAAGATAAACAGAGCAGGCAAGTGTACATCTTTGAAATGGCATAAAATGGTCAAATTCCCCAAATTTGGCAACTATAGGATTACATGATCTAATGTTGGCCAAAAGCAGTAGGATGGAATCAAAAAGTCAGCAACTAACCTCCAGAAGTAAGGTGTTTGTTAATCAGAAGCAATTTGGATGCTTTATCAGACAAAGCAAAATGAATGAAAGTAATTTATTTTTTATTCAGCAGATTTATCCAGCATGCGTTATATGTTGGCACATCATTGTGTGTCTTCACTACTTTGCACGCTCCTTATCATCTGTTTAATCATCATAGTCTGCACTTAGAGAACTTGATCATTAACAGTGCTCACCAAGAATTCTGTTTCCTCCAGGGGTTATGAGTCAGACATGAACTGGGAGAAGGGTGAAGGCCATCCCTTTGAGTACTTTGTTTACGGTGCTGCCTGTTCTGAGGTTGAAATAGACTGCCTGACTGGGGACCATAAGGTCAGTACCAATTGAAACAGAAAGGTCTTCAAGTCATTCTTAAGATACACCTAGGGGGACCAACAGTTGGCGTAATGGGTATGTCACTGGACTCTCATGTAGTCTACCGTGGTTCGAGTCCCGGACCCAGTGACTTAAACTCATGCTAGGCGCGTGTGTGCGTGCTCAAGATCCCATCAAGAGGAGAATGGAGGAGAAGGGATTGCAGCATGGCCATCACCCCAGGGGGTGATTCTCGCTTTCTGTTTCTCTGTCTCTCTCTGTCTTTCTGGCGAGCGCACATGCCCTATAACAAAAACCTCTCAAAAATAAAAAAAAAAAAGATGCACCTAGGGCCAGCAGGTGGCAAGGTGGTTAAGGTGGCTGGATGTTACATTGCCAACTGAGTGGTTAAAGTCCTGGACCCAGCAGCATGAAAAACACACCAGTGTTTGTGTGCCCAAACTCCAAGAGGAGAATGGAGAAGAAGGGATTGTGGCATGGTCAACCCTCTGAGGAGGGCTTCTCATTTTCCTTCTCTCTGTCTCTCTGGTGAGCACATATGCCCTGTAGCAAATAAAAAGAAAAAAAAAAGGACCTAATTCCATATATGGCATTTATCCTAGAAGAGTTGAGTGTGTGATAATACCATGTATTTGGCCTAAAGATGACTTCTCTATATTACCAGACAAAAATAGAAATGCAGCAGTCACATTGGTGGTATGGTTGCTTCCATGGAAAACAACTGGTCACCCCTCTAATTTATTTTCCTGGCCACAATTCCATCATTTCTATCCTGTCAGGATTTGAGGCACACTTGCACATGTGCCTGGCATGTTTTTCGAGATGCTAGGGCCAACAGCAGTTGGCCATGTGGGATTTGGCTCCCTTAACCACTAGACAGTGGAGCCAGTTCAATGGCTCTGGATTCTCATGAGTTTGTGTCCACCTGTCAAGGCTCAGCGGGGACTGGAGAATCCACTTCCAATCTGCATCACGTCAATGTGAACAGGAGGCCTCAGTTTCTCTCTGGCTATTGGCACAGGTCTCCATTTCTTGTCACATGGCCCTCTCTGTAGGTTACCTGAGTGTCCTTAGGAGATGACAGCTGGCTTCTCCAGAGTGACTAGTTCAAAGGAAAAAGAGAGTACAGGCAGGTGAGAGAATACCCAATACATAAACCACAGCTTATATCATTTAATCTCAGAAATGATATACTGTCGTTTCTGCCACATCCTATTTTCTCACAAGCCTGGCCCTAGTAGAGTGTGGGAGGAGACCACATGAGGATGTGAACACCAGAAAAGGGAATTATCAGGGACCATCTCGGAGATAGTCCACCACAACCTAGACCCACTCTCTCCAGCTAATAGCAGTGACAGTGACAGACAGCAGTAAGTCCACAGCTTTGACAGCAGAACCTTCACTAATGCTGCAGACTTTAGAGCACCAATCCTCACCTCCAGTTGAGGTCATTTGTCTCCTGGAAGGCCAGTGCTAACTGGTGTTATTGTGTCTTTAAATAAAAAAGGTGAGTACCTGCAGTTTTATTATAGTCAAACATTCAGAATCATTATCTAATTTTTTTTTTTTAAATGTTAGATGAAAGTCTTAGTCAAGTAAGGAACTTCCTGGTTTCCTTGGCTCCATTAATAATTGTAAGTAGAATCTGTTCGTCCAGGCAGAGACCAATATGTCACATACAAAGAAGTAGACTAGCTGGAGAGCAAGAGTGTTAACAACAGCCGACTGGTCCT